ATCAGTAACAAGCAGTTACACCTAACCGGGTGGGCTGGCTGCAAATATGCCCCACACTTTCTATGGTGTTCTCAATCTCTCCTTCTCTCTGAATTTGTTGCATGTATTTAATCCAGTTGTAATTTAAACACCTGTCTAGCTGGAATGTGTGAAATCTGCTATTTGTTCACCTGTTTTGTCTGGAAAGGCAGCTTTAAAATAAACAAAGATAGGCTATCAGAGGGAGAACTGTACCAAAGTAGCTTGCTAAGGGTGAAGGAGTGATACAGCTATAACTAAATGCACCCTGATATTGGTGTGTTGAGGAAAGAGTTGAATAGATGTCCTCTCAACACCAGTCTTCTCTAAGAGAGTTGTGATCCCTGCTACTAGCTAGTTAGGAATTGCATATATCCTACTGCATTTGTCACCATGGCGCACTTGTTTTGGACTGATCTACCTGTTGTCTCATGTCTTTTTAGGACTGTATGGTTATTGGGGGGGCAGGTTCCATCAACTATTAAATGTGTACAGGACCTAATACAGAGGTCCATGTAGTTTGAGGCTTTTAACTGCTACCACAATATACATATTCAGTATTAACATAGTACTACAAAAGGCCTTAATACCACCTTCTGGAGCATCAAAATAACGCTTCAGTCAGTGTTATAGGACAGTAGCTGGCAATGTTTTTGGGCAGAGTGCCAAAAACACAACCTTGACTTGTAAGATGCTCCAGAGGTGGATGTTGGGGGAGCTGTGAAGGGCCCGATACTTGTTGTGGCAGCGCAGCCACAGCCCCTTCACTGAGGTGTGAGTACCAAGCAAAATGCCTTTGTGTACCACACTCTGGCATGCATGACAGGGGTTGACTTCCCTTATTATAGAACTACTAGTGAATTGCCCATCAAGAATGATGGGGGGAGGCGGGGATGTAGTGCCGCCACCCCCGCACTGCTGCCACCTTCCAGGAATGGGGTGGGGGGAGAGGGGAGCTTGCCCCACTGTTGCTTCTGCTTCCCTCTGCCAGCGGTGCTGGCCTCTCCTCCTCTACTCCATCCCTGCTGTCATGGTGGTGCTCCACACTCTGATTGGTTGTTTCACTAACCAACCGGAGTGTTCTAAGAGCGTTACAGACAGACAGACAAATGGACTAACCCCTTTATTCTTAAGCCCTTTATTATATAAGAATTGATGGTAGTCACATATAATAAAACGCTGTGGGAAGCAGCAAAAGTATTCTGATAGTCAAAAGTACTCTTGAAAACAAAGTTGATGACCTGACACAATTTGCCAGTGCCATTGAACTGATTAATAAAAACTTGTCGGTATGCAGGTGCATGAGCGGAATAAGTAAAAGACAAGCAATAGATGAGTATAATAATACACTATAACAATCACCTAACTGACAAACAAAATTAACTAAGCAGCCATAACTATGGTAAAAGCATAGCAGTGGCTTTAACAGTGCTTATGAATACAAGTGTAGCATTTGAGATGAGCATGAATTCAACATGAATTATTGGCACAGTACCCTTACACACATTAAAAAATGCAACTGCAGCCCTAGGTTAATTTATAGATACAGGACCAATATTTGAAACAAATGACAGGCTTTAAAACCATTTTTATTCAAGTTCCATAGAGAGTTATCATGTTACAAAACAGTATCCATTTTGAATTGGTTAGAAAGAAAATTGCCCGTGGTGCCAAAAAGGTGTTCTTTTAAGCTTTGTTCTTTGGGTGGAACTATCATAGTAAGAAAATTCCTTCTCACTTTACTTTTGTTTCATAAGCCAAAAGTAGTATCTTAAGGGGTGTTCTTCGAGGCAGAAACTTTTGTACCAATGTCATCCAGCTTCTCATTGTACGATTGCTTCTTGTTTTGTTTTTTGATTGCTTTTAACAATGTCACTCAGCGGTTCCCAACCTTTTTAGACTCAAGGCACCCCTTACAAGATTTGTAGCACCCCTCAGAAAATCCTAGCTCTTAGTTTTCACCCATTTTTGACTGACAAAATATACTAGAGCAGTTTTTTGGTTGCTGAGAACTCAGACTGCAGTAGGACAGAATATTTTTAACACTATATATTCTTATTTGAAATCTCTGGGTTTATCCTGTGAAACATGTTTGCATACCCGAGTGCTAACCTTGTGTAGCACCCTGGCACCCTTGAAAGGATCTCAAGGCACCCTGGTTGAGAACCAGTGGTCTAATTTTTATAATTTGAGCTGAATTTCCCTGCTGGGTGTTTTGCCAGCAGAGACTATTTATAGAAAATGTTAGCCAAAGCAGTTCAGGTACTTCCACAAGCAGGGGGCTAGGTAGAAATATGTTTTTGGTACAACTGTTTGAGAAGCTATAACTCCTTTCTTGTATTTGACAGGAGTGACTTGAAATTTTGTGGGTTGGGTAGATTTTGTGTCTGGGATGTGTCTTCTATCATCCCTGTGAAAATCTAGTCTCTGTCTAGAGACTTGCTATAGCCTACCAGCTAAATTCCGTTGGAAACATTCCTTAAATCCCATCCCTCCACACTAAGGATGCTCCAGTTTGGGCTGAAAAGAGCTTTTCCTGCAGTTGCAACTCTGGACCATAGGAGACGGAAGGATCCCTGTTTTCAGTGTTCACAAGGAGCCATTTCAACCTTTGCCTAGGCTGAGGCGGTATGGCAAAGGAAGCTGCTTGACTTGAATTCTGACTCATGCATCGGGTAGAGGGAGTTAATTGGTCGAAGAAGGAATAGTGGGCAATGGGAAAACTAAGGTTGGGAGGGGAGACTGTAAACCAGTGAGGCAGAAAAAGAGTGTTTGGAGGGAGACATGTCTGACAAGGATCTGGGATGTAGTAGATGATCTGGAACTTAATGGGAAAAGAAACTGGGACAAGGAGCCTGAGGATGGAGACTGATGCTGGGCTCCATTGGGGATAGAAAGAACGGGCAGAGGGAGGGTCAACTGGAGATTAGAAATAGAGGAAGACAGATTGGTGCATATAGGGACAGATAACAATTGTAGCAATATCAGAGGATACCAGTATAAATTCGGATGCAGTTACATTTGAACGATTCTGTAGCAGTACAAGTGTGGCAGAACCACTGCAGCCCTAGCCCTGTTTCATTCTCGGGCTGTCTTGTCTCCTGCATTCCCAGTGAGCCACTCCAACCCCTGCACTAGACTGAGAGAGCATGGTAAAGCTGCCTGACTTGAATATGGGGTAGGGAGCTGTGTTCCCCAAATAGTAGCTCTCTCTCCCTTTTTGAAGTGGATAAAAATGCATTTGTCCAAAGCCTGGCTGAGGAGGAAACAAAGGACTGTCTAAAGTAGAGTGGCTGAGTAGAAGAATAACCGAGGACTGAAACTAGGATTAACAGGGCAAGAGACTGAGTGGAGACTGGGATTGACTAGGTGAGAAGAATAGCACTTGGACAGGAGTTGAGGAGGAAGAGACCGGAGGAATCGAGCATAGGGGAGATGGGTGGAAGAGTCTGTGCCCACTAATAAGCACTCCCCTACAGAGCCTTTGATGGAAGCCAAGATTCCTGAATTTCACCCAGTGCACTAACCCTCCCATTGACCCACATCAGGGATGGCATGTATGCCTGCATTCAGCTACTCCATTTGCTCAACTAGCAGAGGTCAGTGCAGTGGATATAAAGATTGCAACCCTGCTGACAAACCTTTTGTGCGTCAATATGATATCATATGATGGCATTCAAATGGATTTTTTGTTCTTGTTTTAATTTAGGAAATTGCATGTAAGTAAATAAAAATAACATCGTTAAAGTTGCAAAGTCAAGTATTCGGATTTAGAAACGCACAGTAAATGATCTCTTGTGAAACATTTTGTTTAAGTGATTTGGCTATCATCATATAGGAGCTCTGTGGCAGAGATAGCTATGAGATTGCCTCTTCCCTTCTCTCAGTTCATCGATTCATTCACTGCATACCTTTCAGCTGCTACAAAAAATGGGGCAGGGATCCTATAGACAACAGCCTCATTCACTATATAGCCCTGTTTCATCCCCAGAGCAGATGAGTTCTGTGCTCTGAATGAGACGGGTGTCATGAAAAAAACATTGTGTGATCAGGTAATTGCAGATTGTATTATAATGCATGCCCAGAAGGCAGATGAATTAGTTCCACAAACAGCTTTAATTTTGGCAGTTCCTGAATCGTCAGTGCTTTGTTGTGCAACCTTAGTAATGTTCTTTTAACAGAGCTTTTAACAGAGCTTTTTACATAATTGAATATTATGGCAGTCAGTACAATTGGCCTATTGTGCTGGGTACTCTTCAGACATGCTAACAGACAGAAATTATTCAAAGAGTTTGCTTTCTTAAGAAGAAAAGTGGCACAAAAATGGTGATGGGAGAAGGATGCAATTGAATGCATTTTTATATTTTAAAATATACTTGCAATTTTATTATAATTTTGCTAGAGCAAAGGCGGTCCCATCCACACCCCCAATCCCAACAACAGTCATTAATTGATTCCTCTTCTTATATGGATGAACAGCTTTGTAAAGATGTGATGGCAAACGTCTCTCATTTGCAATAGAATTTGGTTGAATCTGTATAGAAGATGCCTATGATGATGGGTCATTTATAAATATGCATATATAGAGAGAGCTTGCTCAGTGACCCAGGTTATGGTAAATGGGCAGAGAGAGGCTGGTATGGTCATTTGCACTATGCTAGAGGGAAGTGGTGGGGGAATGTCTGGCTGAAAACAGATTAGGTTTTTCATGGTTTCATTGTTCTTGACTATCAGTCTTTTGTCTCTAGGGTTTTTTTTGCCCTTTTGCCGTTGCCCACTCCACTACATACTGCCAGCACAATTTTAGTCCCATTCAGGACCTCCTTTCTCTAGAGAAGAAAGGAAAATTTCTCCAGAAGTCTTCTTTTCATTATAAGACTCTGTACTAGTGGGTGGTCCCTTTAGCTGTATGTTATTCAGAACCACCTGTTGCTGCTCCCTTGTCTGTGTTGTTTCTGATCTCTTTTTTTGTTTGTTTTTAGTTTACAAACCTGAACCTGGCAAGTGCAGCCATAAGCAAAGGGAACACAGCCTCCCCTCCCAGTCACCACTCAGCACTTAGCACTAGCGGGTCCTTATGGGCTGTTCAGTCGGACACTCGCATAGTGGACAGCAGGCCCTTCTCAGCAGTCAGGTAAGTTAAGCTGCTTACCCTTCACTTGTTAATGGAGAAGACTGTGCAGCACAGCATCCAGGAACTTCTTCTCAGACTTGCTGACTTGTTGCTCTTGAGTACTTTTCAATATATAAGGTAACAATTCCCAGCATTTCTCCAGCACCACTACCAGAAACAGCTTATGAAAAAGGACCCAAATCGCAAGGTTTGGAAGGGGTTTGGGTGCAGTAAGGGAAGGGTTGGAAAACTGGAAATAGTGGTGGTAACTCTTTAGACAATGTCCATCTGAGCTCTTTTGACCTCCTTTGGATCTGGAAATCTGGGAAGACTGGGTTTTCTCTGCTGCTACAATGTGTGTGCCAGGTATAACTTATTATTTGGCAGAAAGGAATCTCTAGTAGGTCCTGAGCTTGGTTTTTCCTTGAATGTAAAACTTAGAGAGTTTGAAGACAAAAGAAAAGCAGTAGGGAACCCCTTTCTTAGAAGCTTCCACTTGAATAGTCCCCTTTTTTCCCTCATTTTTCTAAGCAAAATACAACACAGAAATTTGCATTAGTGGTTATTATGCCCTGGGGCTCTTAACAGAGGACTATGTATGATTCTGTAACGGGGATGACTGTATGAGTCTTGAGAGTGGTAGGATAAGACCCAGGGTTTCTGAATGGGCCTTTCATTGGTGTTAGTGGCTAGGAGCTAAGTGGGTATGCTGTAGTCTACTAGACTGAGTGCAGGACAAGGATCCAGTTACTTTTGAGTCCCAGTCTTTTCCTGACACCAACATCCTGCACCCCTTCATGAAAATTGCTTTTCTGCCTTCTGTAGAGTAGGAATAATGAGTCTGACCCCCTCAAATGCTTGAGCTCTGTGTCTAAAAAAGCTCTGCGCAAGTCCAATTAATGTTTTATCACTATGGCCTGATGACTGCTAGAAGAGGGAGGCAAATCATAAGAGGTGTCCTATGGGGAAAGATTATGACCTGAGTAGTCCTTTTTTCATCAGTCTGTCTTCCCCATCTGTAGAAGAGGAATGTGAGAAATGAATTCCTGGCCTTCGCCTGTCCCAGTACACTGTTTGCCTGTGGGGGTTAGTGTGATTGAGAGGCAGTGATTCCGCTCTTGGAGCACAGCCAGGGGAGTTATTACCTAATCCAAATAAAGAACTTATCCAACAGGTGTACAGCCTGTGAGAGGAGCAGAGGACAGGCAGCCCTAGTGCTTCTGTTTCCTCCTTCACACTGCCTGTACCAGTGGGGATGAGCTGCAGGCTTAGCAGAGAAAGCAGCTACTCCTTAAAGGACTCTTTCTTTGTACTGCTGTAGGTCTTACGATTTCGGCATCACTCTAAAGTAATTTCATTGTTAAAGGCTGCACATGCAATACCTGGTCTGCACTCCTCCACTGTCTTAGTGCCCTGAACAACATTTTACACTGGCACATCAAGTAGCCCCAGAATTGTTGCCTCATCTACCATTTTGGTTATTTTAAACTTTAGACCTATTTAATTGTGTACAAAACCCTGTCTTGCCAGTGTTAGTGTAAGATTCAGTCATGGTACATTCAGTGGAGCACTTAGGTCTCAGGCACTGAAAGAACACCCCTTGGACCTGTGGGGCTTCTGGCTGCAGCTGGCACAGCCGCTGTGCTGATGTATCCAACAGCCAGGGAGTTAAGAATACTGCTGCTTAACCCCTGTTACTGACTGCTGCCAATTTTAGTCATCAGCTGCGATTGAAAGTACTAAATTCTCTAGCAGCATTCACACCTTGGGTGCTGGCAACACTGACACAATGGCTCTGGCAGCTGCAGCAACAGGGGGTTGACCATTGGTGAGGTTAACTCCTTTGCTGCTGACAGCCATGGGCAGAAGCCCTGTGGGCTGGATGACCCATCACCATAGGTGAGATACAGCCTGTAGGCTGTGTTTGACACCCCAGTGTGCTGCAGTTGATCCTTTTGGTTTAGAGTCATAGCTGACTGATGTCACATCTCCATAGTTACTCTGTTGGATACTGGAAGTGTTTTTGAAAAAAAGTGTCTTCCTAATCTGTTTCCACAGGACATAGGGTCTCAGCTGTGGAACTCATTGAGAATATCTTGTCAGTGGGCCCTTTATTTTGGGCAGGTAGTAATATCTGGCCTTTGCTGACACACAGAAGTCCATCTGCAGCTCCAACTCGAGCATCAGCATATAAAGCTCAACACTACAGCTTTCTAGTGGTTTCTTAGGTAAATCTGAAGCCCTTCCAGTGTCACTGGGGCTTGGTTTCAAAGATCTGTTTCTCTTGGAAGGCCTGGGACTTACACTTTTCATACTGCTGGGCTTTTCTCCTCTTTAGTTCCCACTTTTCCAAAGGTGGTTTACTAGTATGTTCTCTTGAAAAGAAGCTAGATTTCCTGTAGCCAAAGGGCAAACAGGTTCTTAAGTTATATTAAGAGACAAGTAGAGACTAATACTGAAAATACTATAATGCCACTATGAATTAGTGCTCTGTCCTCACTTGGAAATCTTTGGTCACTTTTTTAAAAAAGAAAATAAAGCAGAAAGAGAAGATACTACTGTAGGCACACACAAAAGACTATCTGTTTTAAGAAGACCCAAATGGTCCTTTTTCACAAAGAATAATAACTGTAACTGAAACAACAAACACAAAACTATTAAAAGGAATCATTCATGAAGTACACAATTAACCCATGAAACTTGCTGCCACTCACTAAAGCCAAGCGATTAGTAGGATTGAGAAATGGAGTAAAACTCTGTTTCTGTGGCTTAAGACAACCTCTATGTTTCTGTGGACATCTTATTGTAGAATCTTCTTTTAGGCATCTGGGTTGTTGGGATAATTTATTACTTGAAAAGGATTCTGGGGCGATCAAAGATTCAGGGCTTGGGCCCTGTAGGGTCTTTGTGAGACTTGACTAAAGTCAGAAACTTTTACAGCTACTGAGAGTTTTAACGTTTATAGGGGATTCTTTGGATTTGCCTGTAGTAGCTGCCTCCCTGCCTCATTTTTTTTCTACACATTATATGGGCAGTCTTTCTGGCAAGGGTTCTCCAGTGGAACAATCTATATCTTTTTCTTTAAACCTGTCTTGGTTTGTGAACTTGTATAAAGCAAAATAATGCTGAGATGTATCATTTGGAGGAGGGTGGAGGGCAAGAACCTCTGAGTTCAAGTTTAAGAGGTGTTTCTTTTCCACTAGGATAATAAGCTGTATACGCCTTTTCCTTTCTTTCCATGGATTCTTTGAGTCCTGGGGAGGGAGAAAATTCCCTGGTGTGGCAGTCAAGTGGCTTGCGGAGCTATGGCCAGTAGCCCGAAATGGCAGGTGGGTACTTTTGACTGATGGAGCGGAATTAGGCACCGGAGCGTATTGGTTGTAACAAGATTGTTTACTTACACCGTCGATGAACACAGTGCAGGTAAAGAAACTGGCTTAGGTTACGGTTACAAATGTGACGAGAGCTCTTTGACGCGAACGAAACGAGATGTTAGTGAACGGCTTATCGAGCATGCAGGGACCGGGTACGTCAGGTAAGTTGGTGATGGGGAGTCGTTGGTGGGTGATCAGTCCGCCAAGTCTACTCCAAGGTGTATGCGGAGTTCTCCAACTTGGGCGGAAACTGCTTTAACTTTTATATGGTCCGTAAGCCAATTACTAGTCGCCAGGCAGGAATAATTTGGAACCAGCCAATGGGTGGCGCATGTTCAAACCATGCAGTCGTTGGACTTGGCGGGATTTTCCCCTGTGCTGGAATTTTCCACTATGATGTAATAGCGGAATTTCCCACTGTCGTATAGGCATCAAATCAATGGAATTTTCCACTGTGCCATAGGCATTCAATTACTGGGTTCTGACACCTGGGAGAGGCTAACATAACCTTGTTCTGATCTTGGTTCATCAGCTGTGGTCCTCAGACCTCCTGGTGATATCTCAAGAACCTGCTGTTTTTATTCTTTTTGTGTGATCATGTCATGTTCTCCACTTAGTCCCAGATCACTTCAGCTGTTGGTTTTAATCTTGGGAGTTACCTTGTGAAGGTTCTTAGTGTGCAGAGGGTGTGAAACAAATGCTGTAGGAGACCTGCAAAGGTAGAAGTATACCTTACACATCCCAGATCCAACTTCTTTCTTGTAATCCCTCCATCACTCATTGGAAATGAGAAATTAGTGCTTTTTCTCTTGTGATTAAAGGCAGGGCCTTGTGTCCCATGTAGCAAGAGTCTGGAATTCGGGCATCCTCCCCTAAGATGATTTATCTTGGTTACTCTGTCCCCCCGCCATTTTGTTCTAGTCAGTTCAGTAATTTTTACTGTGTTTTGATTTTTCTGTTGAATTTAATTAAATGCATTTTATTCTGAGTGCAAGTTAAGCATCCAGCTGGTTGTAGGTTTTTATATTGTCAAATAATAGTCTTGTAGCAGGAGAAAGGCTGAAACTTGTTGACTTCGGTTTGCAAAATTGGCCCCAGATATTACCTTACCTTGAAGAGAGTTAGAGGTAATGGCTTTGTTTGTTAGATCCAAGAGGCATTTGTAGCCTTTGATAGGGGCAGAGGTAGGTACATCTTCCCCAGTGTTGACAAGGTCAGAAATGATTCTGAATTCTGGAGTTGTGAAACTTGAATCTTGTGTCTCTAACTACATCCAGGAATGGCAAATAAGCACAATATTCTCAAGGGGGTGGGGAAGGGGAGACAAGGTGTGCCAATAATAGACAACCAAAGCCCAGAAAGAAGCAGGGGGAGAGATGTTATTAGATTCTATGAGCAGGGCATTGGCATGGGGGGATGGCAACAGGGGTATGGGCTTTAGGTTCCCTGCTATAAGAAAGGAGAGAATTCTGGGTTATCTGGAGAACCACTGACTGATTTCTCCCCTGCCTGGTTCTGCTGGTGATTTTTCTGTGGTGTTTTCTTTCTGGTAGTCTAAACCTTGAGATATGATATGGAGTGTCCTGCCCTTGGGCTACTTATTTAGTGTCCCACAGACCCATGTGAGGGCTGGGACTGCCTTTCCAC